TATAGCAATACAGCCAAACGTCCCTCATAATGAAAATAACAGTCAGACATCTCTTGTACAGCTGAAAACCTCAGATAAGTCCCGTGACACCCAACGTATCCACCATCTTGACCTCATTTTAGGCCGAAAGTCTCTTTTAATAATGAAAAAAGATATAAAATGTGTAAAAGTAAGAGGAGAGCCAAAAACTCACGGGTCACTTACACTTTACTGGCCCCAGGTAGATCGGCCATTTTAAGGCTATGACGTCACCTATGACATCATAAATGGACGCCCCACAATAGCCTGAGCTAACAGGATGCTATATAAGGCGAGGCTGCTATGGTGGAGGTGGGGTGGAGGTGGCTGTCAGTTTGAATGATATAAATGAATTTAATAAGAAATATTATTAAAAAATATATATATTTGAAAGTGAAAACTGTAAAAAAAGAGATAAATATTGCAGCAGCAATTAGAGGAAGGTAATTTGATTCCGAGCACCTAAAAAACTAAACACTAAACCCTAAACCCTAAACCCTCACAGCCTACTTGAGTTTTTGTGCATTGCATGAAAATTTGTATAATATTTTTATTAAAATGGTTCTAAAACGAACCAAATAGTTCTAAAAAGAACTGGTAGTGTGGTTCTAAAATGAACCAAATAGTTCTAAAAAGAACTGGTGGAAAAGGAATTAGTTCTGAAAAGAACTGGTTGAAAAGCTGAGAAGAGAAGGGGTGAAAGGAGACTTTACGTCAATGATGGCTGATAGACTTCCCTTGCCTTCTTTAAAAATGTGAGGAAGCGATCATCAGCCTCTTCCAGGTAGTGCTTTCGAAAGATGTATTCAGCAAAATAAGAATCATACATCTCCGTTACTGTACCTGATCGTGGGAGAGATCGCTTAACTGCCTTCCAAGTGCTTTCTATAGTTTGGGTGTGATCGCCAGTTTCACTGTTGACGAACTCTATACTGTGGTTCACAGTCCCATGAATATATCCTTCCTGTTGAAGGGTACTGTAGCTCTTCCAACAGTCACTGATTACTTTTGTACCTGGAAGAATATACGTCTTGATCAAGGGGATCAATGTACCAGCAGACCTGTCCTGAACAGTCACCATGAAACACCTCTTCGATCCCCTTTCAATGCCTCCAAAAACCCACTGGCCATCAACCCTCCGCCCTCTGTTAAACTTCCTTTTGCCAAACTTTGACTCGTCTATCTCCACCACTTTCCCAGGTCCTCCTTGAGGCTGACTCTCTCACTCTAGCACTGTCAGGCACACTTCCCTTGCAAAGTAGCACCAATCTACAATCGTAGATTTGGAGCCAATGTGACATTCCCTCATAATGAAGGCTTGCTCTATGTGCTGCACCCAGTAGTACATCAGCTTATGGATCGACGTCAGCTTAAGGATCTGCTCTAGACTTAAGTGAGACCTCTCAAACCAGGTACCTCTCCTAATACTGACCTTATTACAGGTCTTGTGGTCTGAGCACTTCCAAACCATGAGATCTCGGGAATATGAAGCATCCCTGGCTAGCCTCATCCTCCCATTACCGCACTTGAGACAGTCCTGATCAGTAATGTCCCCTAGCACCCCTTCTCTTCTCAGCCACTTGCCAATCTCTTCCTTTGGCTTGTAGCATATCGCTTAAATGTCATCTAGTGTCATTCCAGTATCTCTGGTTGAATTGGTCACCATGTTGCCTTCAGATCACGTGATGTCTGATGTGCATGTGGTACTTATGACGTATGTAACCACATCCTGTGACGCAAAGCAGTAAAATGGCGAAATTGCTTGGGGCCGGTAAAGTGTGATCTACCCAAATCTGCTTGCGGAGTCTTCTAGACTTCTACCTTGTGTTGGTCTTAGTTGGGGGGTGGTCACAGTTTATACAACAGGAAAACACAAACTGTGCTGCATGAACCAGAACTGTGCTGTATGAGATATACAGTACGGGCGGTGCCTTTGATGCACCCACAGACAATACTATAATACAACTTAAAGGTAATTTGTAATGTGGAAAGGTAGCATTTGGAGCGATCATCAATATGCAATCAAATAAGTTAGATTACCACTAACCAATTTGAGGGGTTTAAATGGTAATTTCTGTGAAATTTAGGGGCATTTTTCTATTGGCTCAATGTGTTTGCATGATCTTA